GTGTCTCTACTTGGCTTTCCTTTCCCACCCCCCTCCCCCGCCACTCTTGTGGCTCGAGGGAATTCCTAAAGTGGCACCAAAGACTCAAAATTGCACACCAAACTGCTGAAGGGCTTTCTTATCTTCACTCTTCTGCTGTGCCACCCATTTACCACCGCGACGTGAAATCCAGCAATATACTCCTTGATGAAAAGTTTGATGCAAAGGTTTCTGACTTTGGGTTATCTAGGCTCGTTGAACTGGCTGAAGAGAACAAGAGTCACATTTTCACTAGTGCTCAAGGGACACTAGGGTATTTGGACCCTGAGTATTATCGTAACTTTCAGTTGACGGATAAGAGTGATGTTTATAGCTTTGGGGTGGTGTTGATGGAGCTGCTTACTGCTCAAAAGGCTATTGATTTCAATAGGGAGGAAGAGAGTGTGAACTTGGCCATGTATGGGAAGAGGAAAATGGTGGAGGACAAGTTGATGGATGTGGTTGATCCTTTGCTTAGAGAGGGAGCTAGTGAAGTGGAATTGGAGACTATGAAGTCGTTGGGGTATCTTGCGGTTGCGTGCTTGGATGAGCAGAGGCAGAAACGGCCTTCGATGAAGGAAGTTGCTGATGAGATTGAATACCTGATTAAAATTGTTAAGGGTCAGGTTTCAAAATCATGATGAATTTGTTAGAGAAGTGTCAAGAATGTACACATGCAATCTCTGTGGCCATCCATCTCTTTTTAATAGATTCTCCCCTTAATGGTTGAAATTTGCATGGTGTCATTAGTTTGAGATCAATGAGACAGTCAAATGGAATGTGACCTACATATTTAATTTAATTAGACATGCATTAGTTTCATCCAATAACTATGAGAATGGAAGTATTAAAAAGTGTGAGGTTAGCATTTCTGGTTAAACAATGTCAAAGCTGCTGAGTAAAGTGTACCTGACAAATTCTTCTGGTGTGATAATTGCAGGTTTAAGTATATATGGTGTAATATAGAGACAATTAGTTCGCAAGGGAACACTATATTTTCAGAGTTTTTACAGACTGTTTTTAAATACTCTGGTCTAACATTTTCATGTCTTTTAATCTTTCCGGATTCAACCCACAGATTTTAACAATCTTCTTTTCATTTGTACACACATATTATTAGGATTAGTTTTTTTATACAACTAATCCTACTTGTTCGAAATAATTCTGAAAAAAAAAATATTGTTTTCTCTTACAATATATTTGTATACTACAACTTGATTATTTTCAAACATTTGGTAAGTATGTTAGTAAATTTTGTAATTATGTGTAATTTTAATTATAGGGTTTATCATATGAAAAAAAAATACCTCTAGAGATGTTAGATAACATATTTCTTACTACTATCGTATTCCATAATTTCTATGAGAATGTTTAGAATACATATGATTGATAATGAAATTCATTTAAAATCTCTTTAATTAGTTATTAACACTTTCTTAGTCTCACAATCACTTGCGTGTAAAATCAAGTTTTTCGAGGATTGTAAAAAATAACTCGAGAGAGAAAGAGGTTATCCTTTTATAAAGATGAAAATATTTTATCCTTTCTCGTCCCAGCACATAGGAAGGAAAAGTCATATCAGATGAGTATTGATAATACTTCATCAATTGATTATCCTTCACATCATACTCAAGTAACTCAACCATTAACAATATTTTATCCTTTCTCATCCCATGACACAAGAAGGAAAAGCTAATTAGGTGAGTACCGATAATACTTCATCAATTGATTGTCCTTCGCCTCATACTCAACTATTAACAATATTTTATCCTTTCTCGTCCCAACACACAGGAAGGAAAAGCCACATTAGGTGATACCAGTAATACTTCATCAATTGATTGTCCTTTGCCTCACACTCACCTATTAATTATATTGTTGTTACCAACTGTTAATCACTTTTGCATAACAATTTCTTAGCTCCCATTTCAACAGCCAAATTCAGTTCTAGCACGCGAGTTTCATACTCGTCTCGATTATTTAATGTTAAAAAATTAAACTTGAGTAATTGTTCAAGCACCAAGTCCTAGGGACTTTTTTAAGATAATGTTGGCTCTGCTCCTTTTTTTCGTAGATATGATCCATTTACATACAATATCCAAGTGTTCTTTGCCATAGGACTCAAATTGAGCTCATTAATGAAGTTGGCTAAACACTAAGCTTAAAAAGGACCTTTTGACAAGAATAATTGTAGGTCTGGTTGGGATTTCGTCAATGCATATGGTGTCAACAATACTTCTTTTTTGCTTAGAAAACCATGCTCAGAATCTTGGGTTCATTGGAATTGTTTTTTCTTTTTAAGTAAAACTGTTATAGGTTTTACCTTCTTTGCAATACAAGGTAGAAAATGTGATATTGAGAACAATCGTTCAACTAACTATAGTACTTCCTTAACATTGGTATGTATATGATGAATCTATGGGTGTAGTGATAGTCTAAGAAACTAGCAAAGGTCAAAAAACCCATATATTATATAACCCAAGTGTTGTAGGGATCTGAGCGAAGATATCAAATAATTGAAAAGTTAGCTTTGACATTAGTAGCAACAACAAGGAGACTAAAACCTTACTTCCAAAGTCATCAAGTTGTTGTCAAGAGACTCAAGACCAACTACCTTATAGCCAAAATTTTGACAAAATCTAAACTAGCCAGTATAATAACTACCTGGTCAATTGAGTTGTTAGAGTTGAACTTTGTATATTAGTTGGACTTCGCATTTTGATCATTGTATTGTATTTGTTTGGGGTTTGCTTCAATTCCCTTATTGATTAGCATGAATCCAAGGAAATTCCCTCTATCTATTCCAAACACGCATTTTTTATAGTTTTAGTCTCATCTAATACTTTCTCAACTCCTTGAACACTTTGGTGAAATCTTCAACATGATTCTCAATACTGTTGTATTAACTACCATATCATTAATGTAGAACTCTAAGTTTCTTGCCAATTTTGCTGTTGAAAAATCTTATCCATCAACCTTTTATATGTGGCTCCTGCAATTTTCAATTAAAAGGGCATGACATGATAACATAAGTTGAAATCATTTGTGATAAAAGCGATTTTTTCCTTATTTGGGGGTAAATGGGTTTTTGATTATACCCCGTTCGAAAAACTGAGTACTTAGTGTCCAACAACACTATCAACTAGACGCTCTATACTTGAAAATAAGTAAGCATCTTTAAGCCAGGCTTTGTTAAGATTTATGTAGTCCATACATATTCTCCAATTTTTGTTACTTTTCTTAACCAACACTACAATAGCTAATTGCATAGTATACTAGACTTCTCAAATAAACCCAACTTCTAACAACTTTGCTACCTCAAACTTCATCGTTGCTCCCCTTTTGTTTCCCAACTTTCTCTTCCTTTGGGATATAGTCCTAGCTTCATATATGACATATGGAAAGGTGATGACAATGGAAATCAAGATCAATCCTTGACATGTAAAAGGTTGACCAAGCAAATAAATTAGCATTTTCTATGATATCCTGAATAATTATTTTCTTGTTTCCCCAACAAGTTTGGTACCGTGCATTGGTTTTCAATTCCCTTAGCTAATAGGCCTTTGTAATTTTTTAGGGTTCCATCCTCAACTCTCTGCTTACCCTTGGATCTAACTCCATCATGTTGACATCTTCTCTTAAAGTAAGTATCATAATATTGTTAACTTTTGAAATTGACCTTTTATTTCCTTGGTTAGTTGGCGATATTGTCCTAATGCTAGATGCATATCAGTCTTGTACAGTCTTCTAATTCGCATGTATTGTGGAAATCTTGCCAGAAGTTGAGGGGAACTTCATGGGGTGGGCATAACTCCTAGCTCATTAAAAGTGGGTAATCCTTTCTAAGGCATTGTAAGTCGTATTAGCATTGACTAATATGTATCTTACACCGATAGTTCTCCTCAACTTATCATAGAAAGCAAATGTAGTAAAAAAAAATTTATATATCCTCTTGTATCTATCTTTTCTCCAAAGAAATCAACCAATTGGTCATCATAGGATATTATTTGAGAATTCGGTATTTGTAACTTTCAAAAGGTTGATGTATATACACTACGAGAAAAAACAATTTTAGCATAAGTTTCTTAACAAGGGTTATTGCAATAGTTAAATGTGCAAATACCAAAGGTTTATAGAAGTCATGTTAGTTACCCACGATTATAATTAAAACCATAGGCAATTTTTCACGATTTTTATAAAACCTCTGCAAAATTTATTAAATTTAATTTTCAATTTAACTTTATTATTTTATGCAGTTGTGCATTAGAGTAGTTTTAATTTTATAATTTTCCTTTCTTATGCTTGACACTTAAAATATTACAATGGAATATGAAATGTCACCCTTTAGTTTTTTGCCCCAAAAACACATTAAGGATTAGAGTTTCTCTTGATCTTCCTATAATTGGCTTTCACCAAGGTTAGGCGATTATCTTTTTTCTTGTCGATTGCATAAAGCTAATCCTACTAACACTACACCAAAGTTAATTTTTTGTGGCAATTATTTTGTCTTTTAGGGGCCATATAAATGGTCATTATTATTTTTACCAGCAATTATATAATGGTTGGTATATCCAAAGTCGCTAATTCTATTACTGAAAATTATATAAAATTCTAGTAAAAACTCACTGAATTGTTGGGAAAACTTAAACTTTTTAGTGATAATTCTAGTGGCCATTTTAAAGGCCATAAAAATTATTTTATAAAAGTGTTTCCTTCCCACTCATTTAGTGGCTTTTATCTATTGCCAATGAAACCTTAAATAGTTTATTCCTATCATTTTCTTTTCTAGATTGACATGCAGGAGTAAATATATGGAAGCAATTGACAGACTGAGCCATATCAGATTCACATACATGTACTTCACAATTATATCAGTCATAGGCAAGACAATATATAGCTGATGGTAAATTTCAAGTTGTGACATTATGTGTATTACAATTATCAATTATTCATCATTCATTCAAAACAAATCGGCTGATATAACCAAAATACTAATATTCACCATAAGTATAGGAGTATAACAAGGGACTTGAAAAAAAAGGGAGGAAAAGAGAAACACAAATGCATTTTACAACTTTTACAATATTTAAGAGCCTCATCATTATAAGAAAGGTTTATCCAATGAAGTAATCCTCCAACATTTGCCAAACAAACTCTTTGCCGCTAGTTTTTGAGCATCTTCATCATTATTTTTCCTAAGAAGCTCTAGCAAGGAAGTGATGTCACCATCTTTAGTCATATTCCTTTGATTTGTCTTTGCTTATTAAAAAAGACAGAACTCATTATTAAATATAACAATAATCATGTATACATTTATCGACTTTTCATTTACAAAATCAACTTAGGATATTGGCTTTTAATGAGTAATACCTATTGGCTGAATTCCATCATCAACACAAGCTATATTTTTCTTCTCTTCACAGGTTCTAGGGTCCACATTCTAAAAAATTTACACAAACATATAGTGTTAATAACATAACCTTAAATATAAAATTTTCAAAGGAGAATAAAGTGAAAGAACCTTGAAAAGCTTTCCAAATCTTGCACACTTTGGAATGGTTGAAAACATCCTCTAATATGCATCTATAGTTGATGGAGAGCCACTTGAAGGAGTACCCAAATCAATTATCTTTTTAATAGGGGC